CCAGGCTGGCCTCGAACTCACAGAGATCCGCCTGCCTCTGCCTCCCGAGTGCTGGGATTAAAGGCGTGCGCCACCACCGCCCGGCGGGAACTTTTTTTTTTAATGTGGCACTTGTTAAAATTGGTGCACTCCTCATAGGTATTAAACATTTTATTTAAAGGTTTTAATGTAAAAAAATTATACAAATACAGATTACATTATAGTGAACAAGGCAGTATTCTACATGACACAAATTAAAACAAATTTCTAAACTAAATGTACCGGCACTGAGGACACATGGAACTAGACATCCAATCCAGCTGCATGTGATAAAACTATCTGACCACAGCTTATGCAAAATAAATGCTTTCTAAGACACCAAATGCTAACCACTCTGCCCGTCCATACCGTTATCCTGATGAGTATTCTGACAGAACTTTTACACGACATACACAGAGCTGGCATGGCACGTTAGGACTGAAAACCAGAACTCAATTAAAGACATCTACAATAATTCTGTATAAAATACACACAGTAAATCTTATTTAAAAAAAGATTTAAAGACAAAGACCACCATTAATAATGGTTAAAACCTCATCATAGAAAAATGCTCATCATTTGTACAGTATTGGCAGAAACCAGACAGGTTTTATTGGGGTGAGGGTAGGGAAGATATGTAACTTGAATTAATCCATCTAAATTTGTTGACAAATGTGCATGATAATTCACTGATTATCCCTCTTAAACTCTTTCACCACAAAAAGCAGACTCACACTCCAGTGAGAAATAAGGTCACATACATAAAAAGAACAGCTTGAAGAAAATGTTTCTCAAAATGAAATACAAAATCTCAAGAGTATTACGGTAGGTCCAATGATGTGCATTTTTAAACAAACTCTCAGTGATTATTCTATATTCCAAAATGCCCCAAGGAAAACAGCACCACTTAAAAGGTAATAAACATACCGACACCAGAATTCTCTACAAGTTTATGATGCGAACACTGCCTTTTGATTTAAACTAAGTTCTAAGTGTTAGGGAAACATATATACCTCTCAAACATGAAAATGCACAAAAGCAATTGCTTTCTGATGTGCATTTCCTGCATTTATTTGGCTGCCCCACCCCTACACATTTATTTATTGCAGGGGAGGGGTGTGCATGTGCCATGTGTACCAACTTGTGGGATCTGGTTCTTTCCTTTACCACGTGAGTTTCGGGCATCAGACTCAGGTCACGAGGCTTGGCAGCAAGTGCCTTTCCCTGCTGAGCCCCCTCACTTGTCCCTTATTTGGCCTCAATCAGTGGAGGTTTTCAATGTTCTCAGCCTTAAGTTATTTGAAGAAAAGAAAATACATAACACAAACCTGGGGAAACTTACACTTCTAATGAAATGTAGCGTTCCCCAAAAGATAATTTTCAAATGCCTACATGGTTTAAATCATTATAAGCAGAACACTAGAGAGCATTCCTAAAATTAAATTTTACTGATTTGATAACTGTAGTTTATTTAGATAATTATTTTAAAGTTCTTTATATAAAAATATTTAAAATAAACAGCAGAATGATGCCAAAAATGGTACTTTTTTAAATAAAATGTTGCTAACTACTACTATTAATAAAAATATTGTGGAGAACTAAATAACTCTGCCCCTGAAATGCATTCTATTATGATTACATTTGTTACCTAAGACATAAAAACTCAGGAAGAGCTAGAAGTGTGATGTGAGTACACATGTGTTATACTCAAGTTCTTTTACTATTGTTCTTGATTTCACTGCAGACATCATTAACAGGTCTCAAAAGTACAAGAAATGTACTTTGAGGAAGGAATCAAAAGTAGTTAAGACATTCTGCTTAGAAGATAAATTATTTTCCTATACACTAAATAATAAAATATGTATGTACATTCTGCCTCCCCTGAGTGAATGGAGTGCTCTTCTAGTTGGGTAAGAAGTGAGTGTCTCCTCACTATTTAAACCAAATCTCAAAGTCCAACTGTAGGATTAATTCACAATAAGAAATAACACACCATCACTGCTCTTTCTGCAGCTGCTTTAAATGTCTATTTTCCTTTATATGTACTGAGCAACTGTCTATTCATGTGCCTTCCGGGTCTCTGAACTACATGTATCAGCATGCTAGTTTTCACTGAAAAGGCAAGCTCAGAAGCTAACCCCTTAGTCTGAAAAAAAGAATTTTAAAACACAAAATAAATAAATCATTGTGCCAGTTTTTCAAACATGGCTACTAATTTATAACCCAATTCTTAGTAAAACTAGTCAACTGTGTATCAATTTGATAACTGTTCCTTTAAATAGCAATAATTATCCTAGTAATGAGAACATTTATAGGAGGATTCTTAAACTCAAGGAATTCTGAAACTAGGAATACAAGATGAATTGTGAATTACCCTCCATTACACAATCAAGCCTTCAGCTGACTTAACACAAGATGACACCAGCTGTGGGAGACTGATGACGTCATCCCACTGTGTGTCACAACGCAACAGAGACTCTTTTTGAGAAGCTGTGGTATTTCCTTTAAACAAAAGACAGCTTCCTCACTCATTCCTAGGCCTCTGGAGAGCAAGTGTAACTGAAGTCTGACCTGACTGTGGGGAAGCTAGTTTCATTTTTTTTTCTTAGCTCTACTTAGCTCTATGATTCCTGTCGTCTCTAACAGGATAGTGAGAGTTCTCAGACGTCAACTGTGACCAGGCTAACAGGTTGATCCATGCACTAAATGACAGTAAGCAAATGAGAGCTTGAAAGGAAGGGTCAGACACATTCTTCTGCAGACATCAAAAGAGGGTTGATATACTCAAAACCTTCAAATTCAGACTGATCAATCTTCCTCACGATGTCACTGTTGAAAGAAAAATAAATTCATTGTCATCATAACCAGGACTCTTTCAGCCTTTACACAGTGAGATACAGGTACAAAGAAAACAGAGGGCTAAATGACCTTAACTGTGGAAAGAGAACAAGCCCTTAGCTTCATCACAAAGTCACTTCTAGAAGAACCAGGAAAACCAATAATCCCACAAGCAGCCGTTGAGCCAAGAGGACGCAGAAGCAGACCGAGGGTCTTTAAAGACACAGAGACTATCACAACCCCTGAACTTGTGCCCAGTAGCACTCTTGATGGAGGTGGACAGCCAGGCAGATGGGGAAGGGAAGGGAAGAAGTGGGCCTAAGGAAAGGGCAGCAGAGACAGGAGACCTGGAGCAGAGGAGGGCTGGCACTGTGACCCACTGCACACCTAGCCTAACACAAGCGAGCGCAGAACTGCCAACACTCCAGTACCAAAGGGACATGCCACACTGCCAAGCACCAAGTAGAGCTCTCTCCTTGAAGGAGCAGCATATACTGGAAAGCCCTAAGAGAAAGCAATGTCTGCTATATTGCGCGCGCGCGCGCTCGTGAGCTCCCGTGCACATGTGGTCGACAGCAGGTGGCTTCCTTGGTCACTGCCCACCTTACATTTTGAGCAGCGTTTCTCACTGGACCTGGAGCTCACTGGTCCGGTGGCTGGGTAATGAGCTCCAGGTCCCCAGCATCTCTGCATCTTCAGTACTAGGACTGTAGATTGTGCTGTCACACTCGGCTCTTTACACGGGTGCTGGAGATCTGACCTCAGGTCCACAGGCTCGCATGGCACGCACTTTACCAAGTGAGACATCTCCCCAGCCCACTGTCTGCTAATTTCCTACAGTGTAAGCCCAGTCCTGTTCTAACCACACAACAAAGGGAGGCGATATCGAGCTGGAGAAATCATACGTTCATCATACAAGCACGTGGATTGGAAAGACTGGGAGGTCTGGAGAAATGGAGAAACCATCGGCGGTGGAGCCGGGAACGGAAGGGTGCTAAGGGGGAGGTGCTACTGGAAGGACGGCTGTGCTACATCTAAGACTCTGACGATCATCCCCGCTGATCAAAGGTCTAGTCGGAAAAGTGAGAAGATCTCAGTCAGTAAAAATGACAGAGGAGATTAGAGACACAGCAGGAGAGAGGGAGAGCGTGACACCCACCATCAGGGAGTGGTAAGGGATAGACTGACTGCTCAGAACACCCTTTGTGTTTTAGTGAGATGGCTAAAGGGAAGGCAGGGACAGAGGTGGAGGGTGCGGACAGCTGTTACCTGGGCGGTTTCTGATTAGGGCTGAAGAACTGAACAGTCCTTCATGAAGTACACTGACTAGGATGCACAGTAAAGAAGGAATCGACTAGCGGGCTGGTCCTATGCCCTTGGAACAATGTGAATGAGACTGGATCTAGGATTAAGACAACAGGAGAAGAAAAGAAAGCTCAGGTCCAAGCACTAAAGCAGAGACCTCCCCAAGCCGCCTCAGCGTGGGCACTGGAGGACGTGGTGGGGGAGAGACCTCCACAAGCATGGCTGAATCTGGCCGACAGGATGGGTGGTGGTGTGACAGGCAGACTCAAGGTGTGACATCAACCGAGGGGCAGCACAGAGAAACTACAAGGTCATCAACTAAAAACAACTCTGGTTTTAGACTCCAGTTATCGAGGTGTTTTCTGACAAAGTTCAACAGATGGAGGTGCTCAGGAGCACCACGGAGGGGCAGTGGGCGCTGCTCAGAAAGCACTCTCACTTCCTCTTCACAGGACCTTGTGAGGCAGACGACATGAGGAGGAACAGGTCAGCAGAGAAGTTAGCAGTTCCACGGAGTGGCACAGCCAGGGAGAAGGACATGGACTCGAGTGTCTCTCTTCTGATTAACCCCACGCTATTCTGATTAACCCCATGCTCTCTCTAACTCAGTTCGGTCTCAGTGAGCTTTTTGTGAAATCAGGCTGTGATCATCTATGAATGACACAGGCCTTTTGCCCCACAGCCATCTGCCCATTTGGTTAGTAGTCACTTAAATAACTAGCATCCACCATGCAGGGCCAGCTGAAGTCTGCAAAGTACAAATGAAGACAGCAAACAGAAGGCTGCCGTGTACAGAACCACACAGCATCCTGGTCTCCGGATGACACTGTGCGGAATGCCACACCTTTCACAGACATCGGGGAGATGAGGACTCACCGAACAACGCTCTGAAACCTAGAAATGAGGAGACCAGCCTGACCTGCCAAAGTTTAAGAAGCAAGTCACTCTACTAACGTCTGGAAGACAACAGAAGGCAGGAACGCTGGCCACGCCGACAAGAGTCTGCCAGACACCGCTTCTTCCTTTACTAAGAACACGACAAGCATTTCTCTGACCATCTGAAGACGGAAAGAACGAAGTGACAGAGAACATGGGGCCTCAGAGGAGGCGGCGAGTCCGAGGAAAAGCAAACTAAGTGTGTCTTTAGGCAGGAGGAAAGTGCTGGAAAACCAAGGTGGTGACGCAAGGGGAGCTGGAACCGGGGAGGGCGGGACACAGGCCAGGGCTAGGAAGGAGAGGGTGGCCTTCTGGGAATGAGGGCTTTCCTGCAGGAGGAAGAGAGGCACAGTCCTGAGACACAAGTTGCCTGAGGTCATCTGCACGAGAGAGAGAGAGAGAGAGAGAGAGAGAG